TATACCACAGCCTCTTCATCAACTTCGGAACCAAAATATTCATGATAACCGCCAGAAAAGCCCCTACATATTTATCAGTCAACGATTCGAGTCAGTCCTCCGGGTTTTGGGGGTTCGGAAATTGCTTACGCGCCAATGCCATGATGAACGTACAGCATACTTGTAACGCCATCAAACCTAAATCCGTCAAAACGATATTCCTCCATCCAAAAGTGCAAATTGCTGAGGAGAAACCGCAGAACTTCGTGGTGGCCATAGTTAAACAGTCGGCTGTCCCACTGATCATGACGCCCCTTGCCGCCGCCATGGAAGTATTGATGATCTGTACCATCAAATTCGTTTATGCCATCAAGAACATTTTTTGAGGCGTGACTATGCACGACATCCAATAGTACACTGATTCCCATGGCGTGTGCAGTATCAACGAGCTCTTTGAGATCTTCAGGCGGCCCATATCGACTGCTTGCCGCGAAAAAATTGTTAACTTGGTAACCAAACGATGCATAATATGCATGCTCCATGACCGCCATAAGTTGAATCGTATTGTAACCAAGACCTTTAATTCTGGGGAGCATATTCTGTGTGAATTCCTTGTAAGTCGCTACTCTTTGTTCAGGCGTGGAAATTCCGACATGGGCCTCGTATACTCGGACACTGCCAGGTTTAGAAGGCCTCTCATGTTTGAATTCATACTTGTCGGCTTTAGGGGGGTTCCAGAATCGCGCATCATATGCCGGAGACACAGTCAGATCTTGCGTCACGTATTTAATCCAAGCCGGCAGACGGTCCACCCTTCCCCCATTGGGTAGTTCCAAGGAAATCTAGTTTCACAGGTTTCCATGTTAGTCTGTTCTCTCATTTCTTTGGTTCAATAGCCTTGCGAACCTTGATTTTTGAATTATGTGGTATGGCTGGCTGGCCATCCTTGGGTGGCAACACAATTTCGAAAACTCCAAAGTCGTTCTTCTTCATCTCATGGGAATTGGCATCCCAGTTGTCTAAACCTCATTTGAGTATTATGGCGGATTAAGAAGAGTGATACAGCTGGTTTATACGCACTGAAATCTCCTACGAGTGATGCTGCTACAGCATTGGGTGCCCATTCTCGATATGTAATGGTGCCATCATCACTCGCATTTAGGCCAAACTTCTCGTAGCCCTAGATAATGCAAAATCAGGTTCTCTGCACTGCGACATGATGGTAAATGTATCAGAACAAATCCGATGTAGCTTACCCTCGAAAATTTCTCCAAGCCACCTTCAGTGGCTTTAATTCTGTTGATCCAATCCTGGGATTTGCCGTATCTGCGCTTCAGGGCTTCGCTAAATGGATCCAGCCCGGGGTCCAGCTTTACCACGCCTATCATTGTGGTTAGAGGATGACTGATGGATATGTACTTCGTGAGAATTGAGGCTACATACCAGTGCCATCCCGAGGTATATCGTCTGGAGTCAAACCAGCAGCGCCCGCTTCATTGAGCAGCCCTTGGATGTCTGTCATGGTATCAATTGACAATTGTCCAGAGGAATGTGTATTTGAGCTGTAACTATTCGTAGTACTGTCTGGATGATGAGAATGCGTGGTTCGTGGTAGGGATGGCGCTGCTCTACAAATTGTTGGGAGTGGCAAAACCAGGTGAGATGCGTCGACGTTGGCGCTGGGCTCGGGTCCAGGCTATGGGAGCACCTGAATGCGGCAATATCTCGACTTGGGCACGGAACGTCTAATTACTTGAGTCAAGAGGTCGGGATTCAGGAAGAGGGATAGGGAACATTTATCTCCACGAAGCTTGGTACAAGCTCAATTCAGGTTCAAACAGCTCTAGCAACTAAGCTAACATTGATTGAAGCTAGTGGCGAATGAGCACTAGAGCGGCTGCGGGGTGACAGTGACGTCGAAGTAACGCCGAGACTCTGCAAAGCATTTTGATGCACAGCAGGCCGGCGTCTGGTAAAATCGCGCCAGGCGGGTGAAAGTGATTGGGTCAAACGATTAGCCAGTTGACGCCTCATGCAATGCAGCGTTGGTTCGCGACCTTTACTGGCGCGAGGTCTTGTGCCGCCCATCCATGACGAGTATCAGGTCTGGTAACTGGGCCCCTGGGTACGCCAAGTCGACAGACCAGTTGACGCTTGAGATCGATCTGATGCGACGGCGTGTGAGGGAACCCGTTGACCTTTCAACCTCTGCTAGAGGTCAGCCGGTAGGCTAGCTAGCGGCGGGCACAGGACTCGAGTACCTATGTGCTAGAGGTATCAATTGATCCGTCCAAACTGCTCATGCGGTCGATGGCATGCACCCCGCCAGCCTCCACTGGTGGGTGGCAATCTACCACTACAGGGCCAGAATATCGCTTGCTAGTGGCCGATAACGGATACCCAGGGAGGTGCCTGCATGTGGCCCCAACTTGACGTGCTGCATCTGAGCGCTGCGTTCAATGTTCCATCATCATCAAGGTTATCAGACAAAGTCCATGTTGCAACATACATCCAGCTAGCAAAAGATAACGACATGGTTCGCCCTAACATAGAGGCCATCTCGAGAGGATATTCACGTTTTTGCATCTGAATCCGAACCACTTCGTCCCTTCTGCCGTCTCTGTAATGACATTCCCAGTTTCCGATAAACAATCCCCGCCAAATCGAGTATCAACCAGCATTCAGTTTGCTCCCGCATCATCGCAGCGGCCTCTTCGATCGGGCTTCCGCAGCTTGGCACGAGCTGGGCAAGTGTGATATGAATAGCCACTTCACCATCAGCCATGCCTGGACAGTCAAGAAAGTTGGTTTGCGTTGTGCAGGCCTGCATAAGCTCCGGTGGCAACATACGTTGGTCACCAAGGAGCACTCATGTGCGTTGTCTTTCAACCACAGCTCCCCATCAGACATCTCGACGGACGCCAGACTTCAACTCCGGGTTCACAGGCAGCTATGACCCCACGGCTGAGCTGGGCCGTGGCCCTATGTTCAATAAAGCCAACTTTGGAGTCCCCCAATTCTACCCTCGGGATCTGAAGAGACGAGTCGATGAGTACGTTGTAGGCCAAGAGAGAGCAAAGAGGACCATTTGCTCAACCCTCTTCAACCATTATCAGAAACTTCGAAGGCGTCATCAACACGAGCATGAGCAGAGAAACTTTCAGGAAAAGCTGATGCGTCAACGTTTTGCTCGCGACCGCGAGTTGCATCAAAAGAGAAGAGACATACATCCCGTAGAAGGTTTGCAAAATCAACCAGAGCACTTTTCCTTTATGCAAATGTACTATTGCTATCAGGAACCCCAAGATTAATAATACCTTTCTTGTAGATGAATTTCCTGGGCACAATGAGTCGGTCAGACAGTTGCACGACGCAACAGAGTTTGAGGAAGACCCTCTTGATCATTTATATGTCCCAGAAGACCCGTCAGCGCCGGAGCATGTCAAGATTGATAAAAGTAACTTGCTGTTGATTGGGCCAACAGGGGTTGGCAAGACTTACATCCTAGAGTAAGTCGACCGTCTCCTCTACCGACACTATATTGCAGCTAATATGTATCAGAACGTTGAGCAAACAAATTCATGTCCCCTTTTCGATATGTGACTGCAATTCCCTCACTCAGGCCGGCTACATTGGCCAGGATGTGGAAACTTGCATTGAGCGGCTACTCATTGAGGCCAACTACGATATTAAAGCTACGGAATACGGAATTGTGGTGCTAGATGAGTTCGACAAGCTTGCCAGGAGAGAATCCCCGACAGGGCGTGATGTTGGTGGAGAAGGTGTCCAACAAGCCTTGCTCAAGTTGGTCGAAGGGACCAAGATTACCATCAATGTGAAGGATAACCGATCATCACGATCAACCCCGCCAATCACCACAAACTATAGCTCTGGTGGATCGTCGTCGTCGGCACCGCAGGCCGTTCCCCCAGGGGGGAAAGTCGACCAGTACACAATCGACACCAGCAACATCTTATTCGTATTCTGCGGTGCGTTCGTCGGTCTGGATAAAGCCGTGTTGCAGCGTGTAGCCAAGCCGTCAATGGGCTTCGGTGGCGAGTTGAGAGGTCGGTCGACACTTTCTGGGAGCAAGCACATCCTTCCTTTGAGCGTATACGCTCATATTGCTCATCATGACGCGATGCCAGAAGCTTCATTTACGCCGCTAGATCTTGCAACACCTGCAGATCTGCAAAGCTTCGGGTTTATCCCAGAACTAATAGGCCGCCTACATAACATCTGTGCTCTAAGTCCCTTGTCCACCAGCGACCTGCTCCGTGTACTCACAGAGCCCCGGAACAGTCTTGTTGCGCAATACACGGCATTATTTGAGACGTACCCGTCGCGATTACGCTTCACTGAAAAGGCATTATACGCCATTGCAGAAAGGGCTGCAGCTATTGGAACTGGTGCCAGGGGTCTGAAGATGGAAATGGAACGTATTCTCGCTGAGCCGATGTTTGATGCCCCTATGCCGTATGTTCTTATAACAGAGGACTGTGTTAAGGGATCAGGTAAAGCAACATACTGGGGTAAGGACGGGAGGTTCGAAATAGACAGGCGGTTGGAAGAAGAGAGTATGAGTCGTCAAGACACAATACCTCAGGTGACCTTTGAGCGTATGAGGGAGGCCGGGCAGAGTGGGGGGTAAGATGAGGTTGAAGCAAGGTGGGCGGTGATATATATATCAGGTTTGCCTAATAATATGGCGAGATGCCGCTGGCATCCATGAGTCCTTGATCTTCTCCTTGCGTGAGGGGACATCGCGAACGGGCACATTCATGGTCACCGACGAATGTAGCATTTTCACGGCGAACAATGGAGAAATTTAATTTTTCGGAGTTCCGTCGTTGTAGTACAATATTTACAACCAATCAATCAGCTCATCTTCCGCCTTGCCGGCCTGACCTCCCAGCCACGCTCGCTCTAGAACCATTTTACATGTGGTGACGGTTCCCCCACAAGTTCACCTCCTACACTTCTATCACAAAAAAAATTTGCATGGTATTGGTAGAGAGAGTTTAGTTGCCCTTCGGAGGAGACTGGACCATGCCCTTGCCACTGTAGCCCTCGGATGTAATACCGGTAAGGGGATCGGCTTTTTGTTGCTGTAAAGCCCCGTAGATTAGCACTGGCTCTTTCGGGTTTCAAGGGCGAATATGCTGAATAATTCATATCAACTTACGATAAGGAGCTCATTGGAAGCCTCCTGATATTCCTTGGACATGGTATGGGGTTCAGGCTTGGCAAAAGATCGAATGGCAGCGAAGATGGCAAAGCTGGCAGCAAGACCGACGGCAACGCCCCAGGCAACGCGAGCATTGGTACCCGGGGGGTCAACAGCACGGGGGCCATGGGGACCAAAAGCGATCCAGTATGCTAGTGAAACAATATGTGTTAGCTCTTGTTCGGTCAATGGTGAGGCCATGCAGCTGTAGGGAATGCGCGTGTATCCCGGCAATCCCCGATTGACGCATCGAGCAAGGAACTCGTTCGGGCATGGCAAGGGGGGTATATTCTCCATTGAACAATCACGAAATTGAAGGCTTGCTGTCGCATGGCAGCGGAGTTGGGGAGTGAACGCTTGAGCTGTGGTGGTAGTGGTTGGAGTGGTGATCCTTGGCAGCTCGGCTATTCGGGAGGTATTTTCGTAGGAAAACGCTGAGCTATCGGGAGAAACATACCGGCCTTCTTCTCCTGCAGGGTCAACTCATTCCAGTTACCCTTCATGCGATCACGCAGAGCCATCCACAGATCAGCCTGCTCCTGGAGAGGCATGCCCTCCCATCTCTTCTCGATGTTCTTGAGTGTAGGGTTGGAAATCGCGTGGGTGGAAGAGGCTCGGGAGGCAGCGGCTGGGACACTGCGCACCAGGCCCTTGCGCAGCATATTCGATGCCGGTGTGCGCAGCATTTTGTACGGCTCAAGTCCGAAGTGGCGGGAGTTCAATTGGCGCGGTCGATTGCGCGGTAGATGGATTCCAAGATAGCGAGGTCAGGGAATTTCTGGGCTCTTAGGATCGGAATCAATCGTATGATGGATTTCATTCGACTCCTGCGAAGAAAGCTCAGGTCCCGTGATGACTAAGTATTTGTGCCGGTCACGTGTATATCGGCCAATCACTGGTGACGGATTTGTGGTCGCTGAGTTCCTTTTCCGGGTTGCTGGGACTGCGCAGCTTTGCTACTCACAAAGTCGCTCGAGGTTGCGTGAGAATCCTTCATGATCATCAAACAATCAGCTAAAATTTAAAATTTTGGTGTCTATTAAACTCCTATAGTTTAAGTACTGAAGTGTGTCTCTACTTGGTAGTTTTTTTTTTTTTGTGCCGAGTAGATGGGCTTACTTTTATCGGTTCCGGATTGTCGTGAATTCATCTCGACACACATTTAGTACCTGTTTTGGACCGAGAACCCTGACAGGAAATCGCCACAGAGGGCTGTATCATGCAACCGTAGGTTCAAGGTTGTCTACATGGCCAATTTTGGTGTGCACGAGGGTGTCTGCGCTTATCCTGCGGCAACTTCTCCAACATAGCAGAACTTCCTGGCAAGGCAAGCATGCTATAGGGTAGTCAGCGTCCGACTGGGAGACTTTGAGAAGACACTGATGGCAGCGGTACTGTAAATGAAAAGTTTGGTCTAGGCATGTTACACTGTTTCTGAAGCACAACAACGAGGTTGCTTCAGGCCATCGAGGGACTGGAATATGAGCAGCACCTTTAAGCAGTCAATCGCAGTGCAGTCATCATTACGGAGGAGATGTGCACTCCCTGGGGAAATATCGGCCCCACATCGGCGATGCTGAAGCGGCAGATAATTGGATAGCCGGGCTCGCAATGGAGTTATCGGCAACATGACCATGGACTTTCCGCGGCGCCATTCGCGCATTCCATGGGAATTGGCACAACTTCAAGCTCCCATCTCATCTCACTTACACCCGCCTCATTGCTCTTTTTCTCTCGCCCCTGGGAGACCCCATTTGAGCACTGAATTGCCAAGAGAAAGTGATAGAACAGTCTCAGAATCCCAGATGGGTCGTCAGCCGAGACAACGACCTATTTCATGCACTCTCTGCAGAGTGCGCAAGCTCCGTTGCAGTCGTGTGTTCCCATGCTCCAATTGCACATCCCGGGGCGTGGTCTGCCAGCACGAGGGCACACCTCAAGATGCCACTGTTGCAAGTCAATCCAAGAGTGATATGCTGCCAAAGGATATATCAGCTTCTGAATTGTTGTCGCGCCTCGAGAGGCTCGAAGCATTGGTAGCCTCCCAGGCCAAGACCCAGGCCCAGACTCAGACCTGGCCGCCCGGGACAGGAAGTCCCATATCCGCGGACACAAGAAAGGCTGGTTACCCAGAGTCCGGACCTCCGACAAGCCTGGCTGCTGTTCCGTCACGGCTTCAAAGGCTGACTGCCGATGCCCTCTGGTTGGAGAGGTCATGTTCCGGCCAGAAGTTACTGGTAAGCCTGTGCTCATTATCAATCAACCCAGACGTACCTCAGAGCAGCTGCACATTGCCCTCGTCTATTCTGTGCACATCGCCACTGACATTGCCATGTACAGGATTCCGTGGTTGCTGATCCCATAACCTTCCGTACATGCCCCATAAGACTCATTACAAAGCCGTCTGGATTCATATTTGAACCCGACGCAGCTCCTGGCGCATTCGGAGTCACGCAAGCGATACGATGCATCTGGCTGCCGCGTCGCGAGGAAGCACATATCCTGCTGCAAAAATACCTCAGTGATGTTAGCCATTTTCATCATATCATCCATGCTCCCTCCATGGAGGGCTTAATAGATGCCACTTATAACGGGCTGGAGCAAGGCGACAGGGTCGACATAGGCGCCATCTTGCTCCTGCTGAGCATTTGTACCACCACAACATATGCTTGGACCACGTTTGATGACTCAAGATGCCTCTTTGCCAATTATGTCGAAGCAAACTCACAGGCCACTTCATGGCTGAAGGCTTCTCTTGACGTTGCTGATCACGCACATCGCACTGCCCACCTCTCTGTTGAGTGCGTCCAAGGCATGATCATTATGTTTTATGTCCTGTGCAGCCTCGAAGGAGTCTCATCACGAGCTCGATCCCTGGTGGCGAAATCCATTGCCATGGGCCGTGAGCTAGCCCTGCACCGCATCGACTACTCCCCCAATGGCTCCTCCGGCGAGGTTGCGGGAGCGGACACGGTGAAGACCGAGATTAGTCGTCGCGTCTGGTGGTACCTGACGGCAACAGATTGGTAAGTTACTCATACCCAAGCCGCGCTTGACCGGTAAAAGACGCCCAGACCTGACAAATGATCTTCAGGATGCTTGCCCAGTTTTCTGTACCGCAGGAAGGAACGTATACAATACACCCAAATCACATGGCTGTTAGGAAGCCACGCAATGTGGATGACGAAGAGCTTATTAGTGGTCGTGAGGTCCCTGATCACGCGGCCGAGAAGCCAACTTGTGTCTCGTACTTCTTACAACGTATACGGCTGGCTGAGGTTTGCCACGGCCTTCTCGACAGGTCACCGTTTATTCTCCTCAGCCCAGAAACATTGGACTATCGGCAAGTAATGGAGGTCGATGCGAAGTTTAAACAATTCATATCCGAAATGCCGTCCTTCTTTTCGCTGGGCAACACAAGTCTAAAAGATCTTCCACTTGATGACCCAAGATGCTCACCAAATATCACCGTGCAGCGCTACACGCTGAATTTACTCCTACACCGGCAGCTCTGCAAGTTGCATCTACCATATCTCGCTCGAGGAGCGGTGGAGACACCATTTGCATACTCACAGGAGATGTGTATGAAATCGGCCAGGATTATCATTCAGGTAGAGCATCAGCTGAGGAAGGAAAACCTGGTGTACGTGTCGTTCCGGCAGAGGATGAATATGGTGCTTCGAAGCGTCTTCATTGCCACGATTGCCCTGGTCCTGAGTGCTTGTTTAGGAGGGGATGGAGACAATGGTACAGCCAGCGGAGAAGAAGTTGCGGATGCCTGGAGGATACTAGAGGAGGCAAGACACCAATCCCCGGTTGCGTCGAAGCTTCTCGAGCTGTCGGTACAAGTGCTGAAGAAGCACCGAGGAAATCACCCTGCACTAGAGGCAGTGAATAATCATGCTGCCGGAAAAGGCCGGCCACCAGGCGGGTCTCCTCCAATGACTCCTGATTCGGGCCATCGAGATGATGGGACGAATGGCATGTTACCACCACAGACGACCCCCGAATCAGAAACCGCGTACCTTGAGCAGCAGTGGCAGGCTCTGCAAGGGAGAATGGACCTGGACGCTATTGACTGGGACAGGCTTTTCTGGGGCCTGGATGCGCCTTTCATATAGTCGGCAGGCCTGTTGCATCTAGTCGGATGAAGTGGTTTGGGTTTCATACGTGCCCGATGTCCTGAACGCGCAAAGTTACAAAAATATCAGTCGGTACGGCGGGAGTGAATAATAAAGAAAGATTTACGAAGTTCATGATAATTACATGGCGGGAGAAGATTGCAGGCCCGACCTGGTGACTATTACGAAAACGACGCAACAGATGTGTCCGGTTTACCCGTTACTTCATATCCTTTGGTATTGTTTTAGCGTCTGACTGTAAGCCTGTTTCGTTTGTACTGCTTGTTTTTGTGTTCGATCCCGTGCTGCTACTTCGAATTAATGTCCATAGGATGCTGATGTAGTAATCGGCGACTGGTTGCATACTTTTGTGACGGCGACTTGCCATCTAAACCTTTTTCTTGGGCAAGGGCTGGCTGGAAAGTGTAATAGCCTGGCGAAACGATCAGAAACGACGAAATTGAATCTTGCAGGCTGTTTCGGCCAATATCCATCACAAGGTCCGGGCCTCACCTCCCATTACCCCAAAAAAGATGGCCAATCCCACTGGAAGAGCTCGTTGCAATCCGCTCATGTTGCGATGGCTGTCCTGGTAATAGTCCGACAGATTGCGTAGCGTTTCGCAATAGCCTGGGCTGAATGTTGAGGGGGCCAAAAAGGTTGAACTGCGGTATCGTCTGGCGAATAGCCTATGGCACTGAACTCGGAATAGCTTACATGTAGCTTGAAGAATCAACTTCGGTCAATTGCTTCAGCAATTATCGACCCACTCCTTCTCCATTGGGCTCACCTCTGGTCTGCCGGCCCCCACTAAATTGCCGCGTGAACATTGAATGGTTCAACGCGTCTCGCGATTGCTAAGCGCGTTGACTTGACCATCGGCTCCAGTTGGAGAAAATAGGAACATCAGACAGGATCATCTTCTCGACTTATGTAAAAGACCCTGCCAATCCAGTCCAGCGCATCAACACAAATAAAGTACCATGCAACAAATCATGCCTGCTTAGGGATATCATTTGTGGTGCGGGTGAATTTCTTATACCTTTCTTCTTGTCATGCTGCTGCTTTTGCCTTGCTCTGAATTCTCGTGCCGTTGAGACAATGATGAGTGGACGCCATGACCAACTGGAGAGAATTGGGTGAGATACCAGATTCAGAGGACGATGAGGGCTTCTATAGTCAGCCGTTGGCTTCGCGACCGGTTGCTACTACCACTGACGCCGCCGTACCCGTCTACGATCCAGATCCTGGCATTTGGGACTTTCCAGGCTCACCGAACAATAACAATAATGACAACGTCGTTACGAATCCGCGAACACCTGCCCTCTCGATTCCAGATGAAGAACAGGTGATTGACCTCGTAGCCTCATCGCCGTTGTCATCTGCGCTTAGTGAAGATGGGCTGCCTGGGGTTGAGGATCTTTTTCCTGGAGACGACACCCAACAACATGTGGGAAAACTAGAACAGGGAGACGCAAAACTATTGGGAGCTTCGCAAGCAGAGAGCCATTGCAGTTCTGCAGTGGCTCAAGATTTGCCGTTGTCCCCGGACCCCCCTCTTGATAATCATTCGTTCTCCCGCAAACCTGACGGACAGAGCCAAACAATTGGGACTGGTGGGATCTCTGAAGCTCAGCGAATAGCAGTTCGATACGAACGATCGTTACGTCCTCGAAAACCCATCCAAGAGCATCCGTATCTACTCGAAAATGCTCAGTATAGCAGTTTTTTGAAGTTGCACGGCGTAAAGCCTTTGCGAATGGCCATCGAGAATGAGCGAAGGAAACGGGATGCTCAACCGGGAGGATCACAAGAGGATGACTTTCAGGAGGACAGCCAGGAGTCCTGCAAACCAGACACTCTGGACGACTCGTCTACAGATGAAATCGGGCTTCCAGGAGACCTTGACGCTTTGCTTTTGCCATCGTCAACACCCCTACGGCAGTCACCGACAACCAGACATATCGGAATTAGCAGCCCAGTCAGCTCTCATGGAGACACAGACAACACGAGTGTTGTAGATGAAGACTTACCTGCTCTAGAGGAGCTGCTGACAAAGCCTCCGAAACTCGTCTTAACCAAGGCAAACAAACGAGATGCAACTCCACTCACATCGTCGATTCGCAAAAGGATGAGAAGAAATATTATACAGAGTGACCCAGTCGACGATGACTCTGTTCAAGCGGCATCGGATGTGCAATCTCCATTTATACAGTTCTCGCCATCTTTACGTGTCCCGCCACTTTTGGAGACCGGTTCCGATGGAATCCCGAACCCTCAAGTCTGTGATAGATCACCGACTCTGTCTGCAGCAAGCATATCTGGCAGAGCAATGGGCGCTACTAACCGCGCTACATATATTGCCTCAAGTGATGAAGACGATGGGATCACCCCTGCAAATAACAATCCTACGTCTCCCGGTTCTGATGGTTCTGATACTGAAAATGAGACAGTGACAACCATGAGCCGCCGCATACGAGGTGTTCTTCCTGCTTCATGGCTGCGGCTTGACCGGCAAGCCGGCCGGGAAAATGCAAAGAATTCTCTCAGTCGCAGGACTCGTCTCCTACGATCTCCTGAGATCGAACACAAGCGAGGGGTCGCACAATCGCGACATGCCACAAATGGAACAGCTGCTCTTCCAATATTTTATGATGCATCGGATGAGGAAGAGGTGCGAAGCACGTTAGATGTCAATGAGAATAAATGTGACAACCCAGCTCAATTGGAGATCGACCACCCCGAGGTGCCAATTCGGGAACGAGACACAAACCATGAGGACGATGGAGGTGCCTCAGCTATAGAGGACAACGGGGTCGATTTCATGCTCCCAGGACCGTCGCGGAAGCGTCAGCTTAAGCTGACCGATAGCTTGGACCAAGGTGCCAGGAAACGACCGAAAAGAAAAGATCAAATCACGAAGCAATCCTATGGAAGGCTGAGGCAAGTCGGGATCAAGGCACACTTGCATGAATCTCCAATGCCGCGTAGGCCAGATTCCTCACTGTTTGAACACTCTCAGAAGCAGGATTTACGGAAACGAAAAAGCTCCCGAAAGCCCGCCGGGAAACAGGCTAGGACGTCGCCGCCGAAGCTTAGCATTCTGGACACTATCCAACCGGATGCACCACAATTTTTGAAGATTGCTGCACGGACAGCACGGACTAGACAGCTTCAGGGTCGTTCAAGCCCATATAAGAAAACCATACAGCTTGCAACTCGACAAGATCAGCTTGATGTGGCTTCAGTATTGATTGATTGGCGCTCAGGCTCCATCAAACAACGAGATTCAGTCACTGCAGCAACAAAGTCACCTCAAAAGAAACGAGGCCGGGTTGTGCTGGCGGAAGCTTCCGGGAACCGGCATGGCAATAATATAACCAGAGCACAGTCCAGGCCTGGTGTATCAAAGAAGCTCGTCAAGCATGTGAGCAATGGAGGATCAATTAGATATCTTCCAGCACAGGCTCATCCTCAGCGACAACACCTGAAGAGTGCCCGGAAGATTGCTGCCGTAAAAAAGACGCTTTCCCCGAGTTCAATTCGTCCAGCACAATTGGAGAGGGACGAAATTGTTCAAATGACCAAATTTGAGTTCAACACTCGGAAGCGATTTCTGGATCGCCTGTATCAAAACGGCCATTCTGGAGTGAGAAAGCCAAGCAGCGAGCCGTCATCTTTACGAGGTAGTAGCCGAAATCTCGGGGTATCTATGCAAGATACAGCAAATAAACAACCAGACAAGGCTAAGCAAATATTGGGCGGATCGCGAAATCCCAAGAAGGCAGCTCCTCGGCGTATCGACATCGATGCGCCTCAGTATAGCCACGCAAAGGATCCAGTCCCTGAAGTGTATTCCGCAGAACCAAGTATAGCTGGCACAGAGCCTGCTCAAGCCAAGCTTGTCGGCTTGGGACCCTATGGTACACAGTACACTCATCATTTCGAAATATTCCCACTTCACCCTGATGTCTTCTTCCACGAATCTACTCTTATCGGAAGCGGCGAGCTACAGTCTTGCGCCACGGCTGTCTTCTCGATGCACACGTCGGAAGCACAACCTTGTATGTCCATATCGCTTAATGACCATTTGTTTAGATGGGGCGCTTGGAATGACCAAACTTCCTCAGAACTAGGCGTGGTGCTGGATTATATCGCAGAGGGTATCGAGGCCCAGCTGGCTGGAAAGCCTGCTCCGTCACCCAGTGAACTGACTCCTGTTCTGGCCGCGTCGTTTGTACTAGGCTATATCAAAGACTCTTTTGGGTTCTTCGAACACAGCCAAAAACTGTCATTCCTCTCCCGAGCTCGTGAATGTCTGAATAACCTCAATAATCGCACTAACTCAATCCTCAGAACTGCCCGCTTCAGCATTCAGAGCATTGGTCATGTTTTGCAGATCTATGATAGACTGATGCTTATGGCCTTCCTTATGCTGAGATTTTGCAACCAGGACCCATTGCTTATAACTGAGAAGTTTTCAGTTGAAACATGTCTTCAGAGTCTTGGTGAAACTGCGATCAGCATCCTCACTGAATTGGGCATTGGGAGCTTGCAGAAGTTCTACACGGAACTCCACAATAGGCACTTCAGAGAAAGTGGAATTCGAAACGACTATCCTGTCATACATTCTTGGGTGATGGTCATGAAAGTCATGGATCTGGCGCACATTCCGAGGGCGTCTTTTTGGGATGTGGCTCAACGCTGGATCGCCCCAAAGCAGGACTTGTCTACCAGTAACGCTCAAGACCACGAACGTATCTGGGAGAATGTGTTTACGCTTCTTCCCCTTATGGAATTTAGCAATACTGGCGTACTCGTTGCTGGCCAGCGACACTCGGTGTCGAGCGATGGCTGGACAATTCCGCAGAAGCTTCTTAGGCAAGTTTTCCAGCTGTACGAGCGCAACCCACGACAGGCTGCCAGCTTCAACTATTATTGTCGAGCACTCGTTGGACGATGCCACTACCTTGTTCAAGAATGGGGTTGGAAGAAGTGTGTCAGTATAATTGGCTTGATATTCGACTTTTTCGGCTCACAGCAATTGGCGCATCTTCGAAATGAAGAAGTATTCAAGTCTCCGCGGTTTCTTGAGAGTCTAGGTGGCCGACCGAACCTAGCTATCGAACCTGAAGACCGATGCTTCCATGTATTTCTAAAACTTGTTGCAGTTGCAATAAGAAAGCTCAGAGCTGCTGGCTCCATGAAGGACATCAGCAATCTTGTGACAAGAATTGTGCCGAATCACAACCGACAGCATCGCAAGGACGAAAATGTGCATGCACGCGACCTGGCAGCGCTGAGGAATCATCACGACTTGCTGTGTACATTATTTTGGGCTGCCCCTGCTGAATGTCGCCCGTCTCCAATTCTCATTCAGAACCTTGTAGACCCGGCAGATTCCCACAAAGAAGCATGTCTGATCAACCTACGTGCGTGGACTCAGCTTGCGCGGTTTGTCATTAGCTCAGGGGAAACTATGATATCATGGAGGCCTTTCCACACCTGGCGAAATTCGTTTTTTGAACAGGTACTCAAACAGTACAACTCAGTAGCGTCTGAAGTTGCACTACAGCTCTCAGCTCTTGGAAAAGAACTTAGCCATTCGATCACTGAAGAGATGATCCACACCACAGTTGCTGTCAACAAGGCTGCTTTGGTTGACGTTATATACGCATCGTTGACAGCATCATTGGATGTCATCCGACATGCTCCTGATTTTCCGACAGCGACTTTCCCTTGGAATATACCACAGTTACGAACCATATTTACCCAGTTTTCAGTCACTCTTCCTGACCTGGCGTGGAGGCTCCTCAGAGTGGCCCTGGCAACACTCGAAACAATGCTGTCAAAAATCGACGATTTCAAGGCGAATGAAGAGAGCCAACAGAGTGAGAGCCAAATTCCCAACGCCGACGTGGCAGACGATGCGCTCCAACATTTGGACCAGAATTTGTCCAAGACATTTTTCGGGATGGCGAGGCGTGTCCTTGCAACTCCTGTGAATGAGCAAGATTGCCACACTGTTAAACAAGCACAAGTGGAATGTACCGAGCAGATTGTCATCCTTGCTGCACGAATGAGCACGAGATTCATCAACGGCGGTCTGATGAGACTTGCTGGGGCTTTCAAAGGCAGCTATCAATTATTCTCTGAATCGCCGTTCACGTTGGATTTGCGTCAACGCGGATATGTGGTCTTGTTTATCTCAACTCTGCTACGATACGGTATTGATGATTTCGGCGACGCTGGCTTTAGTCTTTGTGACATTTGGGTTTCCTCTCTGGCCAAGCCTCGTGCGTCTTTGAAATATGAGATTGAACTAGGCAAAGAGCTTCGTCGCCGTGGAAATATGCTCGTGCCTGAGGCTGTGTTGGGCATTTCTATACAGCCCGATTACAATACCAACCGAGACCTATTGGAGTATGCAATTTCATCGATGCGTAAAGCTGTTCGGGATGCTGGGCCAACCCTTCGCGCTGCAATGACGGCGGAATATTCAGCGGCGCTTAAGGTGATGATGGATCAGATCAAAGAGGACCTCAAGAATGGGACGCATACGTCGAATGAGCATGATGGCTATGTTGTCTTCATTCAAGGCGTTATTTCTCTTGTCAAGACGTATGGGTCTGATATATGCGCGGTGGACAATTACTTTTGTCAAATAAGCAAAGAATACTCACCGTCTGCAGAAGATCCTCAGCTCAAAGTCGCGAACCTCAAGTCGTACGGCTTGCGGCTTCAGGACGGCGACGCTCGCATTGGCCAGTCGCTCTTCCACCTCCTCTTCAACAATGCAAAATTCTCGATTTTCAACGGCAAATTGACAGAGGAAGTTCACATGCTGGGTAAAGGCATGTCCAATACCGGCGTCAAGACCTTCATTGTGTCGAAAATGCTGCCCTCCATAATCCATGCCTCCTTTAAAGAGAACGATGCCTTTCCGTTGCTTGACATATACGTGGAGGCTTTGGCACTTTGCTTAAGTGGCAAGGCTATACCGCTGGAGCTCTCAGCTGATGATGCGCCCGCAATTTGTACGTTGCTGCAAGCTATGCTGAATGGAATAAACGGGCTGTTCAGTGGTGGACGGGGACGGTCCTTGAACGGGTCTCAGATTCATCTTGCGAACCAGGCGATTGGCCTTGGTAATTTGCTTTGGCCGTCCATTCACGTACTTTCAATGTCCAGCTCGCAACCGCCGCTGTGGACAAAGATGTGGAGTTTGTTGTGTGATTTTTGGGCGGTTGTTTCGAAGTGCCGCATTTGTCTGCAGAGTTCAAATGGGGAAGAATTGAGTAGTGAGGTGGCCCAGTTCGAAAGTCTTGTAATGGGCACAAGGGAAGCCCGAAACGAAGCAGACGAATTTGGTTCGGACGTGGTGAACTTTGCGGAAAACATCATCCAAGACGTAAGGAAGAACTGGAAAGTTACGGAAGACAAGATCGTGATACATATGCCGGGCCAGAAGAAAGGTGCAGCGTTGGCACCCTTGGTAGGATATACCAGATGGAAAACAGGAAGCCTCATTAACGAATTGAACGATGGGATACGGGAGTGGAGTTGGTGGTGGCGCAAGGCAAACGGTCTATCGTGTCTGGAGGAGCATTCGGGCAGCACTGTATTTTGAAAGTATTAGCATGGCATGGCGCAGAGGTCATTTGAGTATAGAAACGGGCCAAGGAGGTCACTGGGTGAAAAGATGTCTTGTTGAGCTACGTTTAATTGTGTGAATGCTGGTGTCTTCAACATGAAGTCCCAGCTCGTGGTTTGGCTCGATGTCCGTCTTGGACTTTGGTGGACACTGACGTCGTTGGTGCCCCATAGAACGCGGGTCCTACCGACGCGTCGTCCTTGCTTAATAGCTTCATCCAATCGAACCTCGCCCACCGGCTGCCTGCGAACGACCGTCCGTTGCAGGACATCATTGCTGCCCTGGCCGCTCTCACGTTTACAGTAATTATAGAATCCAAAGTCAATTTCTTTGTTCATAATCCTCCAAGACGGGTGAAACTCTGAAATATGGGCTCCCTGTTTAGGCTGCCCGAGGAAGTACTTCTGGCACCGCTGCTGGAGTCCTTCCCTGGCCGGGGGCATCAGATCCGATTGCTTGCGACGCTCCTTTATGTGAGTGCACGACATGAGAGACTTTGCTTGCTGCGCCTTCTCTGGATTAGGTTCCCTGTTGGACTCTTGAGCCAAAGACTAACTATTTTCGCTTCCTCAGCCTAGTGCCGCACCTTGTCGCAATCTTGTCCTCCATGGCACCGAAGCCACGGGTAAATCAAGCATCACGAGGCGACTGCTCGCGAATCTGGTTGACACGCAGCCTTGCACCGAAACACGCAGCGTGGGACTGAAGCATGCTGTCATAAACGCCGCACAGTGCATCACGGCCAGACACTTATTCGAGACTATCGTGGGCTCGGTTGCAGATGCTTTGAAATTGGATGGGGAATCAGGCGAGACGTCGTCCTCGACGTCCACCGCAGCACTTGAAAGACGGAGACGCTGCGAGACAATGGCACAGCTGTCAGCAACCATGAGCACAATGCTGGAAGGGCCGGCCAGAGATCCAGCATGGAGGTTTATCCTGGTGCTGGATGAGGTAGATAGGCAAAGGGATGCACCACTGACATTGATACCAGCCTTGGCTCGTCTGTCAGAGCTTGTAAGCATGCCCTAGGAAGCTCACAATTTCCATACATGCCATTTGATAGTACTGACATAACCCGCGCCAGATCCCCTGCCTCACCACCGTCTTCATCGTCACGGCGCCGCCTGCAGGCTTCCTCCGAACAACTGCCGCCGTGTACCTTCACTTCCCTCCGTACACAAAACCCGAGTTTGTTCGTATTCTTTCTCTCTGTCCGCCGCCTGCGATATCCGGCGCGACGCAACTCGAGACGACAGACCTTTGGACTCGTTTTTGTGCCGCTGTTCACGATGCGTTTGTACGCTCGGCTTCTCGCAGCCTGCCATCATTTCGCCATAGCTGTCAGGCTCTATGGCCGCGGTTTACCGCCCCCGTAGTTGCTGGAACCTACTCGCCAAAAGAATTCTCCAAACTGCTGGTGGCAGCACGTGTCCATTTTCAAGATGAATCCCTTTTGAACCCAGGCATCGTCTCAGTCCGCCCTGAACCGTCGTCGGCTACAATGACTACAACAGCAGTGCATCCCACCGCTTCTTCGAGATCTTTTGCGACCACCACCACCACTGCGGCCTCTTATCTGACCGCTTTGCTGCCCATTGCAGCACGTCTTATCCTCTTGGCCGCGTATCTCGCCTCACACAACCCTACACGACACGATTTGACCCTATTCTCAACCTATCACCATGGCCGTAAACGGCGTCGTGGCGGCGGCTTCTTTGCTAATCGTGGGACGCCCCGCACAAAGCACCGAAGAATTGCGCGCAAACTGCTCGGCGCACATGCATTTGTTCTAGAACGCATGATGGCAATATTCGAAGCGGTTCGAAGCGAGTGGTCTCCTGACGGGAGTTCTGTTGGAAGCACCGGCTTGGATGGTGACATTGGAATGGCTATTGCTACACTGGCTAGCCTCCGACTGTTGGTCAAAGTTGGCGCGGGGGATATGATGGATAGATCTGGAAAATGGAGAATAAACGTTGGTTGGGAATCTATCAGGGGCATTGGGAGAAGTATCGGCGTCGAGGTGGAGGAATGGCTCGTTGAATAGAAGCACGGGTTATCTATGCTTTATGGAGTGTATTCTTATTCGCCTATTCATATGAGACAAGCCTTGCACATGACCAGTTTAATTAAGGATGATGCTTATGAAAAGTGATAGAAATTTACAAGCCCATGTGGCCTTTTGTATTGGAACACGTCCACTGAAAAAAAGATGTGCACATGCGATCCCCAGAGGAAATAATTTATCCCATGTAGCCGGTACCCTGCCCATTTGCTATAAAATGAAGAGAAATAAATATCAAGACGTGCTACACATCATGCGTTTGTGGCCATGCAATCCATGCCAAACGGGTTACGCGCGAGTAGAACAACCAAAATAAGTCTCACGCGGCAAAATGGGAGCGAGCAAGCTTCGATCCTATACAAAATTTCCAACGCCAAAAGTCGCAGCATACTTTCTGATGCGTAAAGATCCGTTCTCGTCATACTTTAATAGCGCATACGCGTGACCGAAATCACCAGGTCCTAACTTCATCCAGCAAGAAGCCAAATATAGACCAAAGATGATTCCAAAGATGAGAATAGAATATAATTTTAATTTTCGCTTGTTTGAATATGACTAGGGTGAGGGCTTTGGTGACCCTCACCAATTTTGCGAAGCCATATTCATCTATGCACATTGTGCTCATAGGCAAGGCCCTGCCTAGCCTCTTCTGACGGAGAAAAGCATTACTCGATAGACCTTTTTGAGCTGTTTCCTCCGGAGAAGGAACTCAAATAGCCACGGTCATATGGCTGGGTTGTCACGCCATTCATCCCACTTGCTGGCCTGCTAGGCCGCTCTTCCAATGGGAGCAACGGGGAAGCGATCCGGGACTCAGTCATGAGGCGTGCTTTTCGGTCAGCCCTGTTACTCTCGCTGGTTCGATCGTAGAGATACAATCCCACAAAAGTCAAGGCAATACCCACTGCCTGGATGGGTGTTGTTGGACTTCGAAACCACAAAATGGCCATGACAATGACGAAGACCCGCTTAATCAAACTGGCCACAGAGTATGTGACGGGTGAAACCATGGAAAGCAATATAAAAGCCAGAATGTTCTGGGCAAAATGGAAGACGCCGTTGAAGATGAATTCAAGGGTCAGACGACCATGATCCATGGCATCTTTCTTGTTACTCAAGTCAAGTGAGCCGTCATGCAGGAAGTCCTTCAGTAAAGTAATGCCCTCGCTCCAGAACCAAATTGGCATCGTCACAACAAATGCCATGCCAGATGAATAGCATAGCAAGTTCAGCTTGTCCAACTTTTTGGATTGAACTCCAGGGCCTTCTGCCTCGGCCTTGGCAGCCTCGTTGAAAATCTTCTTGGAGACGATGTTTTGCGTAACGAAAATGAGGGTCGCTAAAAGCGCTTGAACAACGCCAAGCATTTGCCCTCCGTAGCTATGTTTTCCGGAACAGGCAAGCATGACCCCAGCCGTCAGGGGAATCAGGGACCAATACGTTGCCTGGGGGTATCGAATGTCGTAAAAGATTCTATAAGCCAGCACGGTGAACAAGGGAGACAGGCCTTTGATAGTGTGAACGAGGGAGACGGGAATTTTGGCGGTTGCGGTTGAACTCAAAAGGTGACCACCAATCTGGAACGCTGCGAGCGGCAGTGTGGCCATGAGTACGTCTCGAGAGGGCTGGCGGATGGGTTGTCGAAGAGCGGAGACCTTCTCGCGAAGGATTGGGAATAAGGTGGCGAGCCATGCGAGTAAGATGCAGAGGGAAGACACAAAGGCAAACTGGACCAGTGTCAAGGTCGCGGGTTTGTCGAAGGCATTGAGGATGGATTTGGACGAGGTGTTGGTTAAGGCGGAGGAGGTATACCACATGAGACAAAGAATCTGTCACAAATGGTCCAGGTTAGCAACTGTACGAAGAAGCTGTACACAAGATGCAGGCTCTCCATTGCAAAAAGATGATTGAGGTGGTGCAACGTACAACGAGCTTTGGAGACACGGGAGCCCGAAGAGCATCGGCAATCTCATGGGCATTCTGGCTCACGCTTCCTTTTCTGGTACGAATAGTTCGAAAGGCGTCGCTCAAGCTCTTTTGACGGCCGTGTCCTCGTTTTGAATCCTCGGACCAGGGCGAGAGATTCTGACCGTGGCCATTGACAGCTGCTTGTGTGTGACCATTCTCCTTCCGTGCGGCGGGGGTTGATCGACGATCTGAATGTGAAATGGCGCCATTAGGGAGGCCATAGCCAGAGGCAGGCTTCAGAGGGCTGGGAGAGCGAGATATGCCGTTGGGGAAACGAGGCGCATCTACATGGTCCGGGAACTTTTCCATGCTAGTAGATAGCTAGCTGCGAACCGTGGGCTCCAAAAGAAAAGGACCCAGGTGCAGGCCCCGAGATGCAGAATTTCCTCAGTGCCGTATCGCGAGTCCGAATATCGGGTCGGTCGCAGATTGGGTCGTGTTCAAGTCGGACCGGGGGAGGAGATGCGGCAATGGGACAAGACGGGATGCGATCATGCGAGGCGGATCGGAACTCTTGGCATGGAGATGTCGACGTAAGTTAAAGGTCCAACTGGATGTCTCCGACAGGCAAAGGGGACAGGGCACGCGTATTGCGGCTTCAGAATACCAACAGCCGGCGGGTTAAACGAATGACAGAAAGACCATGGACGGACACGAGGATGCCGGTAACAAATTATTGTAACAAGTCCATGGCGAGGGGGTTTTACGGGATTGACAGAAGCCAAAAGCGGCGACAGAGCGACGGGGAGCAAAGAGAGAAGGAGAAGGGGACAAAAACGAAAAGAGAGGCCAACAATTGGTTGGCTGATTGCGCCGGTGCCATCTGTCGACCATTGAGACATGAAACTAAAGCAGCCCTGAGGCTAGTGCTTGGGTACGGCGTACTTGGTGCGAGCATGACTGCACGTGGGTAGTAGACTAGTAGTACTACTAAGTAGGTAGTATTCTGTGGTAGACAAGACAATGGCTGGGGGCGGCTGGCAGAGCTGTCAACGACGGTGTCTGGTGGCACAGGGACGGATTGGCACTGGCGAATGCAGAAGACAGACTAGGCGCTTAGCACCTCCAGCAGTGAGCACCGTGCTAAAATTTAAACAATAGGAGGGACTGTAGCAGCGACCTGAGAGACGTCCGGTCGGTACACTAGCCTTAGGTTGACTCAATGCTCGAGCTGTCTGCGGCTCCCTGTGTGCCCAGTTTCAGCACGGCTCCAGTGGCGTGCTGCCACTTGGGGCGCCAATATCCGGCAATCTGCCGAGTCGATGCGTCTGCACGATAAGATTTATCTAGCTCTTCTTATGAATCATTAAACCTGACTCCCTTCTGCAGAGCGTGGCGTATATATACGTTCATCTCTCTGGCTGCACGACAACTAGTCGTCGCATTCACATACCTCTCCTGGGACTAGGCGCGCGCTTGACTTCTTTTTTTCTTGTCTTTTCGCGCTTTACTTTTGGCCGACATCCCTACGCTCCACGACGTCCACGACGTCCACAACCTCTTCAACCCCCGGTCGCCAGATCTCGAGTCGATTCCCAAGCTCCGTTACGCTTTCGGCTGACCTTGTCCTGACTGGTCGCTGTCCCTTTGCGGAATGGGAAGGGACCCGAAGCAGTACGTTATCGCTGTCACGGGTCTCTACGCCGTCTTTCAACTTCTGACCCGAACATCGAGTTCCTCCACCTTTTCTAACCAGCAAGGCGGCCTGTCGTCGCAAATTTCCACTTCATCATGGCGGCCGCAAAAATGACCAAGAACCAAATGCGGAGGGCCAAGAAGAAGGAGCAGAAGAAGGCTCAGAAACCCGAGGTGCGACAACACCGGCTGAAGCTGGTTGCTAATACAGGCCATGTCTCGAGAGTGAAACTGACATTTGCACAGTCTACAAGAGACTCCCCCCAAGAAAAAGTCGAAGAGAAACATCAAGCCAAAGATGTAGCCGACGACGCCAACCATGTCGATGCCAACACGGATGAAATTAACAACCATACCGCCGAACCTCCCGTCACCATAGATGCACCCGTCCTTGACGATTCTCTCGACGATTCTCTCGACGAGGATCCCGCTTTTGCCGTGTACAAAGATATATTTACCAAGTTTGGCGCCTCATTGGGGGAAGATGAGGTGGCCAAGGAGGCAAATGCGGGCAACCAAGGCACGGTTTTTCTTGGTGATGATGACGGTATTCCTGACGAAGAAGAAGAAGATGAGAAGCCCAAGCTATCAAAGAAGAAACGAAAGGAACTCAACAAGCTTTCAGTTGCTGAACTGAAGGCACTGGTTTCCATCCCAGAAGTTGTCGAGTGGCATGACGTGTCTTCGTCTGACCCTCGAGTCTTGGTTCAGATCAAGGCTCAGCGAAATGTGGTACCAGTCCCAACGCACTGGTCGCTCAAACGAGAATATCTATCATCCAAGAGGGGCATTGAAAAGCCACCCTTTCGACTACCTCAATTCATCTCTGACACTGGAATTACTGAGATGCGAGATGCTGTGCTCGAGAAACAAGCCGAGCAGACCTTGAAGCAGAAGCAGAGGGAACGAGTCGCGCCGAAAATGGGCAGGCTAGATATCGATTACCAAAAGCTCTACGATGCTTTCTTCCGCTTCCAAACAAAACCGGAGCTTACGCGGTTCGGCGAAGTATATTATGAGGGCAAGGAGGCAGAAGTCGACTACCAGCACTTTCGACCTGGTGACTTAACTGATGCTACCAAGGAAGCCCTGGGGATGCCGGCCGGGGCTCCCCCCCCTTGGTTGATTAACCAGCAACGCTTTGGGCCTCCCCCATCGTATCCGACGCTCAAGATTCCAGGCCTGAACGCCCCTCCACCTCCTGGCGGCTCATGGGGCTTCCACCCTGGCGGATGGGGTAAGCCTCCCGTCGATGAGACTAACCGACCATTGTATGGCGGTGATGTATTCGGCCTCGCCCAAAACGGAGCTCAACCACAAGCAACACAAGCTCAATTACAGACAGGCGAAGCCGTCGAACGGGCTCTTTGGGGTGAGCT